AGAAAGAAAATGCTGACTATTATGTCGTATTAAGGAAGGAAAAAAGGAATGGAAAAAGTAATGAAAAAAACGATTCCCAACCTCCTTTCATATAGTGCCGAATTATACCTGACTAATTACTTCAATCTAGTTTAGTACGTAGATTGTTTAGGAATAGGATATTTTATTTTTAAGAGCGCGATCCATAATAAATACTTATAATCTTAAAAAAATTAAAGAGAAACTACCGTTGGTTGATTCATCTTGCGGCTATGATTTTTATATTTCCCGGATTTTATTTAATAGTTGGTATATGTTTCTTTAAAATTAAAAAGGCAATTAGAGAAATGAATGTTTTAAAATTAAAAGAACATAACAAACAAGTTTCAGCCGCTCTTCTTTTTCAGGTAATTTTTAAATGGTTAACAAAAAACTAGGTTGACAGCTTGCTGTTCAGTGCTGGGATAATTTTGGCACTGCTATGTGTAGACAGTGCAAAAATTTAATTTGATAAAGATAGTGTTTGGGATATGCTTATCATATAGAGCTCGGGTTTTAGACATCCATGGCTAAAGCTCCAGCATTGTGTTTGTTGTAATTCCTTTATTCTTGTCTGAAAGTCAGTCTTATTCTATTCGGCGTTAGCTATATTCCTATTGTTATTGTTATTCCTATTGTTATACTTTATGAGGGAAAGGACGGAAGGAGAAAAAGAAGGCAAAAAGTTGCGGACAACATTCGTGGACATGTGAGGTAGATAACCAAAGATCGTGATAAAAATTTTGGTATTCTTGTTGATGGTAAGATATCGAAGTCTAGTACATAACAGGTAGGAGCTTAAGCTTCAATACGCCCAATATCCAGCATTGATGCAGTACCAAAAAATTGTACAAATATATAAATTAAAATTAAGGCATTACTTCCGTCATTGGAAGTTATTGGCTGGACTATTCAAGTATTTGGTCCAGCATTCACTACCGGACACTCTATAATGTATACTGTTGCTACTGACATTCCAATAAATTTAGTTCCAGCATTGAATCCGATTGGAACAATTTTACTTGTTGCCCCATACCGGTAAATATTTTTGGTGCTATCGCATTACAAGCCCACATTTTTATTATTTTTTTTTTCGTTCTTTTTGAGGAAACGAAGGAAATACTTTTTCGGCATTTTAGAAGTTTCCCAGTCTAATACGAGTTCAAATTTTGAATTGTGAATTCTGTGAATTCTGGACTCGAAATTTGACCAGGCGGATTAAATTGAAATTAGAAATTAAAAAACTGCACATCTATTCAAGCTCGAATTCGAGTCCAAGATATGTAGCAAATAAAATTGGAGCTCGTATTCGAACTCTGCCCAATCGAATTCTAGATCTTCAGGGAATCTTATAAAATACCTAAAAGCACTTCTTTCTTTATTTTTCTATGGAGATGAAATCTAAGTATAATTAAGGGACACATTCTTAACTTTTACCAAAATTTCATTTATTAAATAAATTCCATCATATCCCGACATTTAAATTTATCTAAATTAATTTATTATTTTGAGACGTGCTGTTTTTCGTTATTTGGGAATTTCCAAAGCCCAATCAACAGTTATTCGTATTCGCACAACAATTCAAACAACAGTTCGTCGTTATGGGACTGCTAGTATACACCCAGTTGGACGTTCTGGAAATTAAGTATTTAGATCCAAGCGAGAAGAAAAATAAATGTTAAAAGAAAAGATATTTGAAGAAGATTAAATTCATTAAAAAATAAAATATTTTAAATATATGTAGATATCTCTAAAAATTATTTCAGTACACTAAAATAATTGCTTTTTTAACAATTCTAACGTAGGAAAAATTTACTAAACGTAAAGTCGGATGGAGTCAAGAGTAATCTTTCTCCGGGCTGGCATGCTTTTAAAAAAGACAACAAATAAAATATGTCGTAATATGTAGTACAATTGAAACCGTGACCCCGACAGATTATTTGCAAAAACCCAACCCGAACCCCGAAGGCTCTACTCAGACAAACACGATCCCCGACGAAAACCACGAGTCGGGGTCGGGGTAAAATATACACCCGTAAGTCCAAATTGGTGAATAAGACTTCTCTTCTTCTTTTTCCAAAATTTTAAATAATCTTCTTTTTCCAAAAATTTAAATAAAAAAGGTAGATTTAGAAGTCCATAAAACGATGGAGCCTATTTTCTTTTTAAGATACTAAAGTTTTATCTCATTTAGTTTTGATGGTTTAGTATCGCGTCAAACCTAAATACTCGCGAGTAAGAATCAGATATTTTATCACTTTAAATAATTTACCAAAAATGTTTATAGAATTTTATCACATTAATATTATTTTAAATCTTATACATCTTCATTTTTCTTTCATCATTCAAACTTCTCTTATCATTTTTATGCTTATGGAGAGCACTCCTTGCAGACGATACCAGTTCCGGGTCGTTCACAACTACAATCCTTCCATTTTCCATTATGGTCTATAGCGACACAATGCTTCTTGCCATAAGATCCATCATCAGATCCAGGTTTGGATGGACATCCAGGAGCCCATGGACCTGATGGCTCTGATGGTTCTGTAACCAAAGAGAATGGCGTGGTCGTTTTTGGTTTTTTGGTCTTATTGCAGCTACATTTTTTGTCCTTTTTCTTTTTGTCTTTCTTCTTTTCATGCTTGGTGACCTAAATTTTGGCTAAATTATACTATTGTATTTACTAACGTTTTTATATCCAAATGAGCATTCGCTGCTATCATCACAATAGCAATTGTTGATATTCTCCTTTTCATTAGAAACTAAGTGAAGACCAATCCATACACATTTATCAGTTTTTTCTGAAACATCTCTCTTAGATCGCTCAGATTTGGAAATGACAGAATCAATCAAGAAGGAGTTTTCTTCATCAGAATGAACTGAGCATGGGGTGGCATTGTGTTTTGCACAGATGGCTGATGCCTATGTGTTTATTGGTATAAATATTTATTAAAAAATTAGGCATACATCAAAATAGCAGCCATCAGAATCGAAGTACTTATAAGCATATGATTTGCCATTTTTGCCAATCTTCCAGTGCCAGTCATCAGACCCACATTTGTATTCAACGCTGCAATTACAACTATCACAACCAGGAGTGCTAGGGGTATTTTGTGCAATTGTTGTCGATGGAGCTTGCGAAGTAGTAGTAGGTCCGTTAGTAATAATAGGTCTTGCTGGTGTTGGTGTAGGTTGCTCTGGAGTATTATGCTCAACTGTAGGGGGTTGCAAGGTAGTTGAAGGTCTGCTAGCAATTGTATTAATCGGTCTAGCTGGTGTTGGAGTATTTTGTAAAGGAGTATTTCTTCCAACAGAAGTCGAAGTTTGTAAAGTAGTTTCAGCAGTTCTTGTTGGAGGTGTTGGGCGTGGACCTGGATTATTTCCTGGCAGACCTGGCAATCCTGGGCTCCCTTAAAAATAATGAAAATGAATAAAAAATGTTTATTATTATCCTAAAATATTAATTTATTAAATTATATTTGCCTGGAAGGCCTGGAGCTCCTGTGCCAACTGTTCTTGTTGGAGGTGTTGGGCGCGGACCTGGATTATTTCCTGGCAAACCGGGCAATCCAGGGCTACCTTAAAAATATTAAAATAATTAAAAAATGTTGAATATTATCCTAAAATATTAGTTTATTAAATTAATTTGCCTGGAAGTCCTGGAGCTCCTGTGCCGACTGTTCTTGTTGGAGGTGTTGGGCGTGGACCAGGATTATTTCCTCCATTTCCGGGTAAACCGGGCAGTCCAGGGCTACCTTAAAAATGTGAAAATAATTAAAAAATGTTTAATATTATCCTGCCTGGAAGTCCTGGAGCTCCTGTTCTTGTTGGAGGTGTTGGGCGTGGACCAGGATTATTTCCTCCATTTCCGGGTAAACCGGGCAGTCCAGGGCTACCTTAAAAATGTGAAAATAATTAAAAAATGTTTAATATTATTCTGCCTGGAAGTCCTGGAGCTCCTGTGCCACCTGTTCTTGTTGGAGGTGTTGGGCGTGGACCAGGATTATTTCCTCCATTTCCGGGTAAACCGGGCAGTCCAGGGCTACCTTAAAAATGTGAAAATAATTAAAAAATGTTTAATATTATTCTGCCTGGAAGTCCTGGAGCTCCTGTGCCACCTGTTCTTGTTGGAGGTGTTGGGCGTGGACCAGGATTATTTCCTCCATTTCCGGGTAAACCGGGCAGTCCAGGGCTACCTTAAAAATGTGAAAATAATTAAAAAATGTTTAATATTATCCTGCCTGGAAGTCCTGGAGCTCCTGTGCCACCTGTTCTTGTTGGAGGTGTTGGGCGTGGACCAGGATTATTTCCTCCATTTCCGGGTAAACCGGGCAGTCCAGGGCTACCTTAAAAATGTGAAAATAATTAAAAAATGTTTAATATTATTCTGCCTGGAAGTCCTGGAGCTCCTGTGCCACCTGTTCTTGTTGGAGGTGTTGGGCGTGGACCAGGATTATTTCCTCCATTTCCGGGTAAACCGGGCAGTCCAGGGCTACCTTAAAAATGTGAAAATAATTAAAAAATGTTTAATATTATCCTGCCTGGAAGTCCTGGAGCTCCTGTGCCACCTGTTCTTGTTGGAGGTGTTGGGCGTGGACCAGGATTATTTCCTCCATTTCCGGGTAAACCGGGCAGTCCAGGGCTACCTTAAAAATGTGAAAATAATTAAAAAATGTTTAATATTATCCTGCCTGGAAGTCCTGGAGCTCCTGTGCCACCTGTTCTTGTTGGAGGTGTTGGGCGTGGACCAGGATTATTTCCTCCATTTCCGGGTAAACCGGGCAGTCCAGGGCTACCTTAAAAATGTGAAAATAATTAAAAAATGTTTAATATTATCCTGCCTGGAAGTCCTGGAGCTCCTGTGCCACCTGTTCTTGTTGGAGGTGTTGGGCGTGGACCAGGATTATTTCCTCCATTTCCGGGTAAACCGGGCAGTCCAGGGCTACCTTAAAAATGTGAAAATAATTAAAAAATGTTTAATATTATCCTGCCTGGAAGTCCTGGAGCTCCTGTGCCACCTGTTCTTGTTGGAGGTGTTGGGCGTGGACCAGGATTATTTCCTCCATTTCCGGGTAAACCGGGCAATCCAGGGCTACCTTAAAAATGTGAAAATAATTAAAAAATGTTTAATATTATCCTGCCTGGAAGTCCTGGAGCTCCTGTGCCACCTGTTCTTGTTGGAGGTGTTGGGCGTGGACCAGGATTATTTCCTCCATTTCCAGGTAAACCGGGCAGTCCAGGGCTACCTTAAAAATGTGAAAATAATTAAAAAATGTTTAATATTATCCTGCCTGGAAGTCCTGGAGCTCCTGTGCCACCTGTTCTTGTTGGAGGTGTTGGGCGTGGACCAGGATTATTACCTCCATTTCCGGGTAAACCGGGCAGTCCAGGGCTACCTTAAAAATGTGAAAATAATTAAAAAATGTTTAATATTATCCTGCCTGGAAGTCCTGGAGCTCCTGTGCCACCTGTTCTTGTTGGAGGTGTTGGGCGTGGACCAGGATTATTTCCTCCATTTCCGGGTAAACCGGGCAGTCCAGGGCTACCTTAAAAATGTGAAAATAATTAAAAAATGTTTAATATTATCCTGCCTGGAAGTCCTGGAGCTCCTGTGCCACCTGTTCTTGTTGGAGGTGTTGGGCGTGGACCAGGATTATTTCCTCCATTTCCGGGTAAACCGGGCAGTCCAGGGCTACCTTAAAAATGTGAAAATAATTAAAAAATGTTTAATATTATCCTGCCTGGAAGTCCTGGAGCTCCTGTGCCACCTGTTCTTGTTGGAGGTGTTGGGCGTGGACCAGGATTATTTCCTCCATTTCCGGGTAAACCGGGCAGTCCAGGGCTACCTTAAAAATAATGAAAATGAATAAAAAATGTTTAATATTATCCTGCCTGGAAGTCCTGGAGCTCCTGTGCCACCTGTTCTTGTTGGAGGTGTTGGGCGTGGACCAGGATTATTTCCTCCATTTCCGGGTAAACCGGGCAGTCCAGGGCTACCTTAAAAATAATGAAAATGAATAAAAAATGTTTAATATTATCCTGCCTGGAAGTCCTGGAGCTCCTGTGCCACCTGTTCTTGTTGGAGGTGTTGGGCGTGGACCAGGATTATTTCCTCCATTTCCGGGTAAACCGGGCAATCCAGGGCTACCTTAAAAATGTGAAAATAATTAAAAAATGTTTAATATTATCCTGCCTGGAAGTCCTGGAGCTCCTGTGCCACCTGTTCTTGTTGGAGGTGTTGGGCGTGGACCAGGATTATTTCCTCCATTTCCGGGTAAACCGGGCAGTCCAGGGCTACCTTAAAAATAATGAAAATGAATAAAAAATGTTTAATATTATCCTGCCTGGAAGTCCTGGAGCTCCTGTGCCACCTGTTCTTGTTGGAGGTGTTGGGCGTGGACCAGGATTATTTCCTCCATTTCCGGGTAAACCGGGCAATCCAGGGCTACCTTAAAAATGTGAAAATAATTAAAAAATGTTTAATATTATCCTGCCTGGAAGGCCTGGAGCTCCTGTGCCACCTGTTCTTGTTGGAGGTGTTGGGCGTGGACCAGGATTATTTCCTCCATTTCCGGGTAAACCGGGCAGTCCAGGGCTACCTTAAAAATGTGAAAATAATTAAAAAATGTTTAATATTATCCTAAAATATTAATTTATTAAATTATATTTGCCTGGAAGGCCTGGGGCACCTGTGCCACCTGTTCTTGTTGGAGGTGTTGGGCCTGGGTTATTTCCTCCAGATCCAGTTGTTGAGATTGTTGCTACATTCTGTCCATTTAAGGTTGTTGCAATTCCGAAGGTTGTTGCTGCATTGTTTCCATTAGAACAAGTCATTTTGCAGACTGCTCCATCGAGTCTATCGGCACAAGCAATGTCGTTATACATAAACGCTGGAGTTCCTATTCCCAAACTTGTGTCAGTAATTTCTACGCATTCGACAGGATCTTAATAGATTCATGAATTTTTTATAATAATTTTCTTTAAATCTTTTTAAAATTGAAGCGCTTGAACTGCTTGAATCTATGTTCAAGTATAAATGATCAACGCATTTCGTTTCCTTATAAGGCATTTGATAATTCTTAGTGAAAAATTTTTACTTACTTCCATTAATCTGTGCCTTTGGTATTGGCACCCATGGATATTGTTGTCTTCGTGGATCCGCTTGGTTTTGAAAATATGCAAAATTACAATTTATATCAGGTGTCCAAGTACAATAAACTTCAGAAGTTCGAGAAGTCTCGTTAAGTTTATAATGCATTCCAATAAACAGATTTTGAGCAGATGTATTAGCGGCCAGACTATACATGTACTCATTCTCCTCTCTGCTGTGAATATCAACAATTTCGCTGTTGATATCCAGACACAGCCTTCTCGCCTATAATTTAATTTTAGTAGATGATTCTTTATAAAAAATATTTTTTTAATTCAAAAAACATTAAAAAACACGGACCTCAAAATAGCTGACGTTATTTTTCAACACCACTTGATACCCATATTCGGTTCCATTCGAGTCCGTAAACGATGACCAGCCTGCAGGGCAATCTCCATGCACATAAACAAAGTGAATACATTGAAGTAAAAAGACTAGAGTCAACAGATTTAAAAAAGAAACGGAAAGTTTCATTTCAAAGTAGAGTTTTTATTTTATAAATTTATCCAGTTGAGTTATAGAATTTATTTGAAGGGGGAATAAAGTAATGAATGATTTTAGAGAATGATATGGTTGGGGGAATGCTTACTGCTTTTATATGGAGTTGGGTAAAAATTTTTCCAGACAAATTTTCAAAGCCAAATATGGTTAAGGTAAGAGATATTTTATTATAATTTTCTCTAATTCTATGGGTTTTACTTAAAAAAATTTGCTTAGTTGGAAATATTACCACTTAAAATTTACCCACGTATTAAAATTTTCCAATTTAAGTTTTATTTGGCAATTTAAATAAAATTTTTTAAAATCGCATGACTTTTTGTCTTTAGCGTGAGGGGGCTTTAGAAAATTTTAAATTTATTGCGGATGAATTTTTAAATAAATTTATTCAATAATTTTATTCTTACTAAAATTAAAAAGCCTTTAGAATTTGAATTTGTTGGGTAAATGAAAATTACATCTATTTTTAGTTTTTACTAAATATATAAAATTATACATACTATAAACCATAAGCTCTTATATCGACCATGTTTCTACCTTTTTGTCGGATTTTCTTTGTAAGTACACCCATGGAAAAGAAAAAGTACGTAAAATTGAGGTCAGCTCACAAATACACTGGCCAATAAGCCTAAAAATTTGTACCTATAATAATGAGTAAATAATCATTGTTTACACGTGAAAGCCTCATCCTCATTGTTGGGTTTCTATTAGGGATGGTCTTCTATTAGGACATTTACCAGCCTCTTCATTGTTTATAACATAGGTAGAAAAACAACCTAGAATAATAAGTAATCTGTATATATGTACACGTGAAAGCCTCATCCTCATTGTTGAGTTTCTATTAGGGATGGTTTTCTATTAGGACATTTACGGTAATTATTATCCAGTCTCTTCATTATTTATAACTTAGAATATCACAAAATCAAGATAACATCTTACAACTACGGAAAAACAATCAAAAGATAATTCATGCCATCCTACGATTAATTCCCTTTTTTAAATTTATTAAATTCCATCAATAAAAAAATAAATTTTAGTCCGCAAATTTAATCCGCATTTTTTAAATTTGCCATTTTTTACTTCCAACGCAATTTTAATAGAAAATATAAGAGAGGTATACCCATTCCAGTTAATCAAACATTTAAATTTTATTTTATTTACACGTGAAAGCCATGGAATTTTAAAAAATGCTTATAGAGAGAAATTTAAAACAAAATCGTCGATTCTTTTATGTCTATTATACCAAATTAAATAATTTTATTTGGTAATTTTTTAAAATTTTATTTCCTGGTTTATTTGGAATCAATACTGCGATAGCCTTAACATCTACCATAAATTAATTTAATATCCAAATTAATTTCAAGTACCGTTCATTTTCTTAATTTTTTGGCTCTATCTGAAAGGGAGTGCGAGATCATATTGTTTCCTCCTTCCTTACACTAGTCACCTTCCATTTTCCTTTATATGAAAAAATGATCAGTATTTACCTCGCCCTTAATTTTATTTGAGGTACATTCAAATGTTAGACTTTAATAAGAAAAGGATTAATTTTTCAACAATACAATCGTCTGGACAAAATAGACAAGAGACGGAACGACAAAAAAGGTCGGACAAGTCAGGGTCTTAACAAATCCCTTGATTTGTCCGACCATTCGGACCGTTTTTGGTCATTCTGTGTTATGTTTGTTCCGTGATTTAGTAAGACGGGTCTAAACAAAATTATGAAGCCGAATACTTTTTAGAAAACTTTGAGAGTAGATGCAAGGGTATAAAACAAAAGATCCTAACTTTGTTCGATTTTTAGCATCATTGACACGGCACGACGAGCTGTATCATAGGATATACTTAACAAATCCATTGAGTATTTACCTCGCCCTTAATAATATAAATTGTCATAAACATATAAATTGTCATAAAAACTTAGTAAAGAAAAAGGGGCGACTTAAATGTATTATCAAAAAATTTAAGTTATTTCGTAAAATCAATTAATAACATTCATAAATAAAAATTAACAATTTTTTTATTATGCTAAACCTAAAATATATGTATTTCAAAAATTAAAACAAAATATTTTTCTAAAAAATTTATTAACACAATAATAAGAAAATTATAATAAAATTAAAATGCCATAGTTTAATTTCGTTTAATTTCTACAATATTCCTCTTGCATAAAATTGAGAATTTAATATTTGGATTGAATTTGTTGGAAAGTTGGTATTTTGTTGCTAAATAACCCTCGCTTAAATGTTCTTCAATCTTTTCAGCTCTTCCATTCAAACCAGTAAAAGGAATATTTAAATTATTTAATTCAATATTAGCCACCATTTTTGAACATTCATTTGACGTTTCAATAAACTATTATTGCAAGAAAAAATTAAAATATTCAAAAATAAATTTTATTTTGAAAGAGATCGGTCTGGAACTGGATCCATTCTGGATTTTTCCTAGATCCAGAGTCGACTAAAATATACTGCTTTTTGGTCAGAACGGTTCAGTCTTCATTTTATTTAACTCGGTTCAGTCTCAATGAGAGGATATAGAGGGATAAGAAGTGCGAGATTAAGAACGATATCAGAGGATTTGTGAGGTTCAAGAGAATATAAGGGATTAAAAGGATTTCATGGAGACATTGATGGATTTTGGATTTTTAAAAATATTGATCTCTAGTTTTAAGGGCACCGGACAATGCGTAAAATAAGTCAGTGACTTATATCATTACTGACAATAAGTCAGTGATGATATAAAGTGATAAGAGCGATAAAAGTAATGAAATAAAGAGATAAAAAGCCACTGCTATCCCTCCGCTGATCTCAATCTTAATACAACCAAATAACTTAACATAGTTGTTAATTTTCCCAAACCTCCTGAGAGATCGGCCTTAATTCAAACAAATCCCTCTATATCTATTTTAATCCCCCCAAAATCCCTTTTTAAATAGTCCTCTCTGTATGTCCAATCTTTAATTTTTTATATCATTTTTTATCTATTTATATCATCACTGACCAAAAAATAATTTAAAAGTAACCAAAAACTTACAGTTAAAACAAGTTCAAAAAGTTTTTGTAAGGCATTAAACCTTAAATTGACTTCGTTAAAATTGTTTCCACTCGTTAAAATTTTAAATAAAATATCTGCATATTCTGTATCATCTTCAAGATCCCAAAAATCAATTTTAATATAGTCAGTAATAATCAAATGATTCAATACAGAATTTAAACAATTTTCAGTATTGTACCAAATAGATATCAAAGATGATCGAATATAAAATTGTTTAGGAATTCTTCCAAATAATAATTCGATCAATTCAGGGTTGAATAAAAATGTATGAAAGTCTCCAATATTAAAATAACAATTAAATAATTTATTTAAATAATAATAGACAATTTTGAAGTCTTCTTTATTTTCAATAATTGTTGGTAGTTGTAAGATAACAAGATGGTATTTATCGACGTAAACTAAAAAAATTTTTTTTAATTAAGAGAACATGTTAACATTATAGCCAAGCTTAACAGAAAAGTTAAGCTTTAAATTTGCCCGCATCCTGCCGTTATTTTAGCATTTGTGTATGTGGTTTTACTATAAGACGTCGGCTTATTAGTAGAGTTGCACCCTGACCCCTATCCCCGAAGGATTTTTTCAGATTTTCCCGACCTGAAGCCCCTTTCGTTCGAACCAAAGGTGGGTCGGAACAGTCAGAGGTGTCGGAAATCGGTACTAACTCGAAAGTCGGAACTCGGAAATCAAAATTTTTTCGGAAATCAGAAGGAAAAAAACGTAGGAAATCGGAATT